TATGAATCCGCTGCGTGATTAATCAAAGTTTGGTTTATGTTATGAAGACTATATTCATGAGTTGTGTTTATTCCGCTTCTTTAAGAGTTATGTATCTATTCTAAATGCATGACAGATTTATGTGTCTCTGTTGAATGTGTGGCATCCTGATTATATTGGGAATTTTTATACTCTGATTTTTCGCAAATTGCTTTGGATAGAATTGGGGTGTTACAGAGGCCGTTTAATAGATGGTCGAGTATCTGGGAGCTGGTCCATATAAGGATGTTGAGGACTGCAGAAGCACTAATGGGTTGCATGAAAAGTTATCCTCCCTGAAGGAACTATATGAAGAGCACTTGGTTGCAGCAGCAGGGGCCGAGAATAACGGTGACGAGGTTTTTGTTCAGTACCACCGAGATTGTGCTTTACGGTATTACTTCATGTTCTTGGTTAGCACGTCCCTCTTTGAGGAAAAAAGTGCCTACTATGTAGATGTGACATGCCTCCGGTATTTTATAAATACTACAGTTTGTGAGTGGAACTGGGGGCCTCAATTTTGATATACCTCTATCAGAAGCTGAATGAAGCTTCAAACTAGAGGACGAGACATCTCACTTGTTCTTGCACACTCCTCACGGCACATTTCATTTCAACTATTACATTTAATTTATTATTTATTACATGTACTTATATATTATCTGATTGTTGTTTTAGAGCTGGATAATTTGTCACTTCCACCGCATTCATAGTTTTGAGTGTGATCCGGCTTATACTGGCGACATGTCGAGGGCTGCAAGTAATGTCCTCCAAAGAGAAAATCATAAAGTTTTATCTTACCGGGTGTATCTTGATCATACTAATCATGATGACATCAAATGGATGCCATTTGAGGATTACAAGGATGTTGTCCCATTTGATCCCGTCTCATTATACTTCGGGTGGCTAGCATGTGGGTCGAATATTATGGTCAAGTATCTTCCAGAGCGGTGTATCCGACAATTTGGCTATGTGTAGAAGATACCGAGATCTTCTTTTCAAGATGCTCCTGACACCATTGTCCAGCAGGAACTCGATGGCATCTTTCAGGATTGGGAGAATTATTTGGTGCCATCGGAGTATCAGATGATATCGGCATCCTAGAGTTGGCATTGTGTAGAGGGTTATGTGACATGGTTCTTTAACGTGTCACATTCTATTATGACATCGGATGGTCCTGGATGTCCACCTAGGTCAGCTCATGAGGAGCTCTTGGAGAACCAGCGGGTCGAGGATGACCATGTCACTGATCTTTTGTCGATTTGTCAGCGGATACACCTCCTTGGACAAGAGACATTGGATTCTGGGATTATTTAGAGGGGCGGTCCTGAGGCGGTTGTCATCATTGGAAAGATGGTTACTGAGGCATCCAATACAGTGCATTATAGGATGCAGAGGAGGTCACAAGGGGTTATGATTAGACATACACAATAGCAGTAACTTATATTATGTTTTATTTTTTTTATTACTGATGTAATATTTTGACATTACATTCTAACCAACTTATATACTAAATTATGTTTCTCTATGTCTAAACATCTAATCTAATTGTTATGTCTATATTATTATATTCGTTTCATTTTTCGTCCAAATTATACAATTTTATATTTACCCGTTTATTTGTTTATTAGGTAGAGGTGAGCACATGCACCCACTCAAAACATGAAAATTTCTCCTACCATCTTAAAATTTGTTTTTGTATTTTACACTTAGTGATACATTTAGTATCCCTCCATAGACCCATATTATCATATAACTTTGATATTTTATTATTAAAAGAAATACGACTTTTGTTATCTATAACTTTAACACTAATTTCTTCTTTTTAATAAGCTTAACCAAATTCTATAAAATATTGAAAATCAATAAATAATAATAATAGATATGCGACTTTCAATTGTCTTATAAATATAATTTGATTGATATCCACATTAACATTTGATTGTAAGATCAAATTAACGATATTCTATTTATTTATTTTTATATTATTAATTAAACTATTAATTATGACTCGTAATTTGTAAAATATGTTTAATATGTGTATGATAAATATAAAATATGATAAGTTAATCTTAAAGTTTATTATATTTTATCTCTTTAATTAAAATATTTTTTTAAGTTTAAGTTAGTGTTAGAAAGCAACATAATATGATTTTAAAAAAAAATTAGTAATATATTTTTTATAACTGTAATTAAAAAATAAAAAATTGAAATTTAATATTATATAAATCAAATAATAAGAAAGTAATTTGATATTAAATTTAACAAATATTTTCAAACTTATTATCTAAGTAACATGATAAGTTAACTCTATCACAATTTTATCACATTATTATCATTTTTTATTATATTATATCTCTAACTTATTATATCATATCATTATAATGCATATTAATCAAATTTTTATTTCTTTTCTCATTGTTTTATCCTCTCGATAAGTAATATAAATGTTTTATAATAAAACTATTTTTTCTTATGAAAATGTACTTTTGAACGGATTTTTTCAGAAATCGCGATAGATAAATATAACTTTAAAAAGAGGTTACTCAAAGAACTGCACATATGATTCACACATCTATATAAATTTCAAAAATAATCAATTTCAAAAATTGAAATTCGAATGAACTTTAAACATAAACAGATTTTGAAAATTGAAAATAACCTGCAAAATAAGATTTTAAAAAACTCAGAAGATTAAAATTCGAACGTGTCTAAAAGATTATATCTATAAAGAAATTACGACTACACAATTTTCAAACTAATTCCAAAATCTAGAATTAATTCAAAAATTGGAACTCAGACGCTTGTGATTAAGCATTTCGTATCTTCCCTTCACATTTTCATTTTTGCAAAAAAGCAGAAATAGGAAATACGGAGATAGAGCAATTTTTCCTCATTTTCAAACATTTTCATAGCTTTGATCCATTGCATTGAAGCTCTACTCCACTGCATTGCAGTTTGTGGAAGGCATCACTTAGATGGCCACTCTACTAATCTAGATGACCATTCTACAAACCATCTTAACTGAGACATTGAATATGTTGCAGTACCGACGACAAACGAGAAACATGGTCGTTTGATATATTCAGTAGTGGGATTCTATTTTTATATATTTTGATGATTTTGTATTATAATTTGTCACATAACATGGTGACATTTTGTATTTGACATTTTGGCGTTTATATATAAGGAGTAGTTATTTTATTTTGATTTATCTTATTTGTGTATTTGACATTTTGGCGTTTATATATACAAAGTAGTTATTCTATTTTGATCTATCTTATTTGAATTGATTTATAAATTACTTGTAATTCAAATTATAAAAAAAGAGTCAAATTTCATCCATCTTGTTATCAAGTGGTGGAAAACACCAATCTTATTTTTTTAGACTCAGTTTCTTCATTTGGCCCAAATATTAAAGCCCAATCTCACTTAAAAAAATCCAGTAACAAAATTGTCCGAGAGTGTGGTACTGCTATTTCCCCATTTACAATACAAAGGATCTCATTCTTATTGATGACTATTACTAATTATCATTTTATTATTTGAATTCTGTCTACAAAATCAAACTTTTATCATTGAACTTATGCTTGTAAAAAGAATGTACGAGTGCAGAATTTTTTTATTATATTTGTAGTTAAAAGAATTTCAAGTGAGATCCAATTCTGAATCATTAAAAAGAATCTAATTCTCCAACTTACTGTTCTCACACACTAACAGTATGATGAAAAACATATAAAAAAGAAAACAGTGAAACTAAGAATCAATAAATAAAGTAACCATTGCACCGATTCTTTTGTTTACATGATTAACACAAACACGTTTGTTGGTTGGCAAGAAAAAGAGGTTCAACCACCTATTGATCTCAACAACATCAAGGTGTGATGATAAGTTGTATAAAAGATATACCAAGAACTGTGAAACATTAAATAGTGGGTTGCAAATGTAGAGGACAAAAGAAACTTATAGGGTAATCAAGAATGGTCCCAATTGAGTTACTCTTGCTGATTAAAGGAAGAGAAATCATTTTAAGGTCATTTTGTAGATAAAGTGCATACCACATGTAAATAGGAATATGAAAATTAGAGCTTGGTTTTGGAAGTACAGCTGGATGGATGGACATGCTACCCAAATACATTATAGACCTTGAGGGGACCTCTTCTTAAAAAACACATCAAAAGATATCACAAACTAAATAAATTATTTCTTAATACTTGGTAACTTTGTTTTCACCTTTGCTTGTAGTCTAAACATTCAATTTTATACCCAAATGAGATCATAGATTGGATTTGGTTTAAATAGAGTTAAAATATTATCTTGATCTTTGAAAGACCATACTGATATCTCATCTCAGTTGTTCAATCAAAGGTTAGACGATCTGATAGTCATCTCATTTGTACAATCAAGATCAGACGATCAGAATGTCATCTCAATCTTGAATTAATATCAGACGATCAGACAGTCATCTTAATCGTTGAATCAAGGTCAGACGATTAGAGAGTCATCTCAATCGTTAAGTCAATGATCTTTTAGTCAGCAACCATAGCGACTGCAGCATATTTTGACTATTAACAACCCAAATCCCTACAAACTTTGGTAAGATGAACAATTTGAGAATAATGGACACACACAAAAACAAACATATTACATAGAGAAAGTAGAAAACAACATGCATTAAACAATGAAATCTCCTTGATTTATTTGTTTTACATAGTTGGCTAAGAAAAAAAAACATAAACATTTCTGTGTAAGACTACTCAGTAATCTCAAAAGAAATTTAAAATTATGGACCATGAAGAAAGTGAGAAATACATCCAAATAAACCATGTTAAAAGGAAAACACTAAATTATCAGGTAGGGAAAGAAAGCTATCCCAAACAACAATTAACTCAGTAAATGAAGCGACGGCGGAACATGGAAGCACCCGAAGCACCCTTCATGGCAAAGTCTGTTGAGTTAATCTAAAGTTATTTCCAATTCTCTCAACAGCCCATAACAGCACAATTATACACGAACACGCCAACATGCTCCTTCATACCGAGTACCTGCCAACCTATGGTTCCGTTCGTAACACTGGTCTTGGGACACCATGAATTCAATACTATAGCTTCACCTTCTGGACCTCTTTGTCCACCCACAACCAAAAGTTTGTCTCCACAAGCCTTGAAAGCAAGGCCCCAACCGTTGGAAGAATCGGCACGTACGGGAAGCCTTCCCAATACTTCCCAAGTGTTCTTTTCCTTGTCATATTTCTTCACCATGTTAGTTAGATGCTCAACTGCATACAACTGATTATCCACAACTGCCACGAGCGGAGGTGCTTGCGCACCGACATTAACATATGGATACATACCTTCTATTCTCCGCCAACATTTTGTTGAAAGATTATATTCCTCCCCGCAAGTTAATGAAACGGTCGTGCTCGACATTCCACCAATCACGTAGAATTTGCCGTCCATAAAAAAACTAGAGCACAATCTACGCGGTGTGTGCATGTTTGGTAAAAGTTCCCATGTACATGATGCAGAGTCGTACAACTCAGCCGACTTTAAAACATTTCCATATTTATCACTTCCGCCGGCTACAATAGCAATCGAACCAAGGCTACTAGATCCAAACAAACAGCGAGGTTGGTTCATCTCTTGACACTTAACCCAACCACGACAAACCAAACTATACTTCCAAATGGCAAACTCCATCAATTCCCTACCGAAAACCAACAGTTCACATCCCACAGCCAACGACTCTTTGTCCGCGTGGTTAAAACACTCGTCGCACGGTATCTTAGGCAATGCCATCCATCTACTTATCTTAGGATCAAATGCAACCCATCCTCTTGGATCACAAACCAAATAAACCAAATGCTCCACAACTCCCAATTCTTTCCTCAATCCATATAAATAACCACTATTGATCAGCTTACTATACCTTTTATTAATACACGACAGAGACGCGTAATCGGATCTACTAACCCAAGCGAGACAATTGAGCGCGACATCATCGATCAGACCAGGGAGAAGCGAATCATTTGGTCCAAGTCTAGGAAAACCATCATTCACTCCCTCCCTCCGATCCATTTTTGGAAAGCTATTCACTTTCTTCCCATCCTCCTGCAAACAACAATCCAAAATAGAATTCCTTTAACATCTCAAGGAATCAATCACCAACCCATCCAAAAAACATAATCATAACAACAACAATAACACCAAAAATAAATTATTTTTATTATTCAATTAACTAAAAAATCAATTATCCATATGCAACCATTATCTACATACCTATATTCTAATCAATTCCATCAATTAATTATGAATCTGAAATTGACTTATTCATTAAAAATCACTCCTTTTTAAGAAACAAAACTAATCCCAAATTACACATAAACATAAAAATCATAACTTTGGGGAAATCAATAAAAATCAATAACAATACCAAATTTCATCACCGACAAGATTCAAAACTCTTCCAGGAAACAGAACCATCTGCAAATCAACAACAACAACAACAACAAATTAAACAACTTTAATCAAAAGGGTCACAAAAAATCAAATCTGACCAAAAGTGCTTCCACTGATCCAATTAAAAAACCAGAAAAACATGATTCGGATCCAACAAATAATGAAACAAAAAAATAGTTAAAATTGAAAAAATGATTGAATTAAGAACAAATGTGTACCTGGAAGAAGTTAGAGCGAAAAGGAAGATCTGAGAAATTAAAAGGAATTGGGTGAAAGCATGTTGTACGACAAAGGAAGAGGAAGAAGAAAAAGGTTAGACAGATAGCTTACAAGTTTGCACACAAAACAAACTGTTTAGTATTTTTATTATGTGATTGTGATAACAGAACAACACAGAGAGAAACAACTACAACTATATATATATATATATATATATATATATATATATATATATATATATATATATATATATATATATATATATATATATATATATATATATATGTCAAAATTATATTAGTGATAAGATTAGAGAAGTTGTTAATTTTTTAGAGTGTTAATTAGAAGATTAGTATTTTAGTATTTAAAGGAAATAAGAAAATAAAGGAACTGTTTTATAAATGTTTTATTACTTTGCAGTTTCTGTTTGTGACCATGCTCTTTAGTTTAATTTTAATGTTTTTTTTTCTTCTTCTTGTTTTTTGTCGTGTAGTTAAGAAAAGATCATGATGACATGAGTCTGTTTGCAAGAAATGTTATGTTGGTCTCTCTTGACACCTCAATTTCTTTTGACAATAGTGCCACCTCCTCATATTTTTATTAAAATATCTAATTTATTAATTATTTTTAACTATTTATATACTATTTTATGATAGATTTTTTTCGATTATATGATAGATTTTTTTCGATTTAATAAAAATTTTGAGTTTGAATTACATTTTGAGAGTGTAATAGTATTAAATCTCTGAAATAAGAATTTTATCATCTATTATTATGATTCTCTCTAATTTAAGATATTAATCTTTATAATTGTGCGCATAAATATATAGTTTACGTTACAAGAAAACTATTGATTCAAAATTTTGTTGTTAACTTTCAAGTCTTTAACTTAAAAAGAACCAAAATAACTTCACAGGCAAGAGGAACTGCTATGCTTAATCTTGCACCATCACATGAATTTTGAGTAATTTCATTTCAATAGATTTTGATCATTTTCACTAATACTTTTAAACAAACAAGAAAGAATAAAATGTTACAATTCAATTCACATCTAAGCCAAAATTAAGTAACATGCTTAATGTTGTGAACAAAGTTAGCAGAAGCCTTTTAATGATAATAAGTTTTCTATTGCATAAGAAATTTTTCTATTTGACGGATTAGAGAAAATTAACTTAAGCAACAAGTATAATAAATTATAAATCTTAGAAACACTACTTAGTGTAAAATTATTCAATTACCCATATTACAATTTTTTCAGTTAAATATGGTAAAACTTTCTTTTAGTGATATTCTTTTTTTATATGATCGTTTAGTTTAATTGAATCCTCAGTTTTTCCATCGCTTAGAAAGTCTTACAAAAATCTTCCATAAGATTAACTTGGTATAAATCTATTTTATGTATTTTACTTTTTTTTTTATGTTTATATAATATTTTAATATTTACATTAAAATAATATTTTTTTCACAATGTAATTATTACCTACTTTCATTTTTTTAGTGTACCAATTTATTTTGGAGTTCCTTTATGAGTTAATATGTGATTGTTTTAAACATAATGTTGCTGAAAATTATCACTATTAATTTCTTCGTTTCACTTTTCGTAGGTCAATGACATGTGGATAACAATTATAAATTTATTGAAATATTAGATATAATATTAATATAATTTAAGTTGTCTCATCTAAGTACAAATTTAATTAGGTTTATTAGTTTATTTAATGTATAAGTTAGTTGTATATAAATAGATTAGTTTTTGTAATAATTCAATTTGATAATATAATTCTTATTTTCTTATTCTTCTTTCTTCCCTCACTAAAAATATCTCACACACTAATAAATTGGTATCTAGAGTTGCGACAAGATTCTTGATCGTGCTTTTAAAAATCACACGTCAGAGATTGTATTTTCGAGATTGTGGATTATTGTCAATCAATCATTGTGAAGATGAATGGTACTAACGGTATTCTGAATTCTCTTCCCACTCTTGACGACAAGAATTGGATTCGATGGAGAAAACATATGCAATCTTTGTTTGACTTTCCTGAAATCCTAGAAGTGGTTACAAATGGCGTTTCTAAGCTAGTTGCGGATGCAACCGACACACAGAGAACCGCTTAGAACAAAGCCAAGAAGAAGGATTGCAAGGTGAAACAACCTACAGAACAAATCATCGAGATGAAATCAATGAAGTCGCCATCGAACATTTTTTATCCCACAGGAAGGGAAAGGTAAACATCGACTAAACCTGAGAAGAGTGAAATCAAGGTCAAAGACCGAGAGATACAGGTAAGGGAGTTGATTACGCAAGGGGAAGGTATTATCATCCCTCACGTCCATGGTACTCCACGAGATCCACTCTTGTAGTTCTAATCAAAAGGCATGTTCTAGTCAAAAGCTAATGAGCTAAGGATAAAACGCAAAGAGAGAATGCACGGAAAAGAAAACACGGGGAAAAGAAGGAATATTTACAAAGTTTCGCTCGCCTGGGCCCCATGACCAAATGCCTATGTATCCCTTTTAAGGAATCAGAGCACCGTAGTTTGACTCAAAATTTTCCGTTTGTTTTGTGTTTTTTATGAACAATATTAATTTCGCTTTTTGCCACAGCTCGACCTTTGGAGACTCACGCGTTGGCACATAAATGAATTAACATGTTCTACCTGAAAAAGTATTTTCAGAAGAAAAGTGCCAGAAGGCGGATAATTCTACATTTGTGCTCTAGCAATTTATACATAGTGTCATCTGATCTTTATGGATTTACGCGTCGTATTGCGTATAGTAGAATTAATACATCCTTTTGAAAGTTTCAAAGAAAGGCCCGAAGGCGGAAAAAGTTTGCATTGGTTGATGTCTTTTACCTTGAAAAAGGATTTGAAAATGTTAGAGTGTTTTATGCATTTGCCAAGAAAAGGGTTTTAGTCTTAAGGATGCAAAAGGAAAAGAAAACGTCTAAGGGGAACTATCTAGCTCTATCCCTAATATTATCATACAATGATGACCCTAAGGTTGATGTTTAAAAAGGGAAATCTCTATCTATGTTAGCATACATGGATTAAGATCCTAATGTCTAACTTGCATCAGAAATGAAAACAAGTGTATCCTAAGGGAGCATACAAAGGTTATAACATAATGAAAAGAATAAGCACAAGTGTAATCAAACAACGACAAACTGAAGCCAAAACAAACATCGGGTGCGAGCTAGCAACAAACAAATGAGTCCAATGGATATCAAAATAGGAGTAAGGAACTCTTTCCACTTGATTTGCTCGAGCACCAGCATCTAGTAACAACTCAGAGCATCAACGTCGAGCGACGCGAGCTAACATCGTTGAAACGAATGACAAAGCGTGGGGGGTTGGTTACAGACCCCCGTATTCCACTTTATTTGACTCAATGACAAAAGTAGGCACGGTTCAAAGCATCAATGCATAGCGCGATCTAGGAACGACACGAACTAGAATGTGTGGGGTCAATTCCAGACTCTCTGTTCCACTTGTTGACTCGATAGAAAACACAATGTAAAAGGGGAGGGGAAATGCCTTCTTCGAGGACTTTGGGAAAAATGCATCTTTTGAGGTGTTTAAACAAACAACACGAAATTACTCCTTTTGGAGTCTTTTGCAAACAAAAACATCGCCTTATTTCGAGGACTCTAACAGAATAAACATCGCCTCACTTAAGGACTTTAAACAGATTGCCCATCTAAAGTAGGGACTCCCAGTCATGCATCTCTATTCCTACTTCTCATGGCAAGGAAAGCGGTAAATAATGTGGAAACATAAACCAGAATCAATATAATACCAAACGAAAAAGTGTTCATAACAAGCATGCAAAAGAAAAATAACTCCGGAAAACTTTTCACAATCTAGCATCAACAACAAAATAGTCAGAATATACGTCGAAGCATTAATAAAGCACTATTAGAATGCGTGTCAGACACATCTGCAATAAACAGAACACCTACACAAAAATTCATATCCAGAAAAAAAACACAAACAATGCATATATCTCACGTAATAAGAATCAAAGTAAAATTGCATCAGAAGCGAATCCACAAATCCACAAATAAAGTGGCATAACATGCTTTAATCGAATAACAAAAAAATAGGTAATCGATTGAAAGCACTCTCAAAGTTTCTTGACAAGTAAACAAACACATTAGTAATAACAAGGAGGCATAATCTAAGTCAAGTATTTGCATCACAAGTTAAATCATGGTTAAATTGCGAAGAAACGCAATCCAAACAAGCAATGAAACATCGATATCAAAATCTAGGCAACAACTTATTAGAAATGAAAGTGCACAAAAAGTTGGAATAAAACTGATCTGAAACAGTACCGATAGCCACCAAACTTACTAACAAGCACAAATAAACCATAACATTGAATTAAATCACCTTACAAATGTTACTTACCACTCCCGGAAAGCAACTCTGTTAACACATGAAGCGCACGGAAATTTGATCCTAAATCGATACAACTCAATGCACATGTCCAAGAAATACCAAGGCAAGTGTAATAATGCATAAACCAACGATTAAAACACATTTGAAGCTTAATTTATAAAATCGGGAGCACTATGTATATCTCATAAAATTATTCAGAAAATACACCGAGATCGTGAAAACTCAACAACAATCATTAACAAATGCACAATTAAGCATAAACATGCATCAAATAAATATCAAAACACAATGTACATGTTAAAATACAATCCAGACAACATTGTTTCCATTTACAAAGTGCAATAATAGTTGTCTCAAAATTCAATCAAAATTATATCAATGCTTCTCAATCAACCAATTAAAGCCAAATACGCATTAAGCGCGAATTAAATCTCAGACCAAGTGCATTTTCAAAATCCGGACAGCACTACACTGTATCCCAGAGTTGCTTGGAAAATTGTACCGAAAACGGTTAAATTCAACCGTAATAGTCCAGAAACGCGCAATTATGCATGAATAAACATCAAATGAATTTTAGAAAGCATTGTGTAACATATTTACACTTTCTGGGCAGAAATATGTACTTGAATCAAATTTGATCAAAACCGATTTCAACAATTGCAAACAGACACAAAAACACACTTATCAGTTCAAGTATTATCACTAAGAAATTGTAAACAAGTTTCAAATGATTAAGTTCACATCAAAACACAAGTTTCTGATCACAAATAATATAATTCATGAGTTAACACAATTAATTGAACCAAATGTTTTAATGTCAGAAAAAATATGAATCACCGTTTAATTCAACTCAAAACCATATCAACTCTTAAATTCGACATTATTTTCCAACAAAATCCAATTGGAAACTAAATTCAACGCGTAAATTCAATTGAACAACAACAACACAAATCATTCGACACGCAAGAATAATCGAATCCGCACAATTATCAATAGTTCATCAAAAATTCATCCAACTCCACATTTATTCATCATCACCAACATAAATTTAATTCCAATTTCAAGATCTAAATGAAATTCAAATCAAGAAATCAATTCAAGTTTATATCGATTCCTCAATTCCAAAACAATTATCTCAAGAACTTGATTCAAGCGAAGTTAAGATTAATTACCGATTGGACTAAAGAGGAGAAGATAATGTTGTCGGAATTTGCAATCGGAAGAGGAACTACCGTCGGAAGTTGAACCGTAACGGAGGAATAAGAGATTTTGTGGCTGTTCGTGAAGAACACAGAGGGAGAATCGGTGGAGCTTTGCACCGGGAGGGAGATCGCGATATCGCGCGAAGTTGCGAATGTCGAATCTAGCAGACTTCGCCGGAGGTGCGCGGCTGGAGCGAAACAATGATTAGCGACAAAGCTTGTGGAAATTCAATGAGGAAGATGAAGATTTATGAGTTTTGGTGATCTTGTTCTTGATGAATTTGGAGAGGAAGTTGAGACAATATGAGAGAAAATGTGTTTCGATTCTTGAGATTTGAATAATGAAAGTGTAATTGTGTTTGAAAATTTAAAATTTGAAATATATAGTTTGGCTCCAAAACTTGAATTTTCAACTTATTTCATGCACAGTGGGAGATCGAACCACTAGCTCATAATGATCGGTGCGAAATCCTGACGCGCGACTTAAAATAAAGATGTCGATGAAAAAATTTATGACATGACACTAAAAGAATCGTCTCAATACGATAAAAATTGAGCAAGTTACGTTACCCTGAACGGTGAGAAATGCGGTGTAAAAATTCAGTGTAGAATTTTACAGCTTATTTTGGGTATGGCGCACGAAAAAACCACAAGCTTATGATGTTCGGTGCAAAATCCAGATGTGAACCTTGATGAAAAATCATCGCAGACAAAATTTATGAAGTTATGCAAAAGAATCACCCTGATACGATAAGAATCGAACAAGTTATGATTTTTCGAATGGCGAGAAACAGTGGACTTATTTCACCGTATTGAAATTTTCAGCTTATTTCCCGTGCACACTTTAGGAAACGAGCCATAAATTGAAGTCTTCGGAGCACAATCTAAACTCGGGTCCTGAAGCAAAGTTAAAGCTTATAAAATATATGATCTCACACTTCAAGAATCGTCCTGATACGATAAAAATTGAGAGAGTTACGATTTTTATATTATCAAAAAACAGTCCGGTAGAAAACGGTTTTGGCATGCAATTTTCTCTGGTAATTAGCACTTTCAAAGATCTTTTGCAAAGAATTAGCTCCTAAGCCGAACATATGAATCGAAGATAAAATCAAGACAGATTTTTCTCCTCAAGAACCATCCAAAAACATCGAACCAGATGAAATTTATGAATTTTTGAACATCTGAAAAACAACTGTTCAGCACACTATTTTCAATGTTTTTGCACCGTATAACTTCCGAATACTCGCACATTCGGAGATCTTCCTCAATGAATTGGCTTCCAAGCTGAATATGAAAATTGAAATAAATTACAAGATGGTTCAAATGCTCTAAGTGGCACTCAAAGATGATTTTCCAGTCAGAAGTTACAAATTTTTAAGTATCTGAAAACCAAGGAAACGGTAAATCCACTGTATAACGCCTTTCAAGTATTTTGCGCTTTAGAAAACCTCCTTCACAAAATTAGCCTTCGACATGAATAGGTGAAATGAAGAAGACCTCAAGATGGTTCTTATGACAGAAGAATCATTCCCAAACCATTTTCTGATCTAAAGTTATGAATTTCTGAGCTAGGAGCGCACAAAACTGAATTTTTGTCTGTACTGCCTTAAGTCAATTAAAACGCTCAACTTTCTGCATAATTTAGAGCGTATTGGAACGCATAAGAGCTTGATATGACAATGACTTGCTTTTTTGCTGATTGGATAGATTAGAAACCATGTGGAGTGCATTTAAAATATGGAAAACCCCGATTTTTGTTTCATAATGCTGCTTAATAGAACAGTCAAATTTTGCAGCTCTATCTTGTAGAGAAAACCCTTGATTCCATGAGCATGGACCCTATGACATATATGTATGCATATGATGATGAAGTATAAGCCAATTAGGATTAAGATGAAGAGGGAAAATTTTGGGGTACAATTTTCTTTAACCTGAGGGTGAGATTGGCAGTAGCCTTTCGAACAATCAAGGTAAAAGAGGATTAAATACTCAATAGAACCGTAAAATTTTCCCTCTGAAGCTAGTCAGGTATTATTTATTTTTAGTTTTTTCTGTACTTTCTATTTTTTTCTTTTTGTGAATATTGGTATCAGGGGTAGATGTATGTCAGGTCAAGGTTAGACACACAACAAAGAGATTGAATATCGAGGAACATGTGTTCAGAATCGGTAGTAAACACAAGAAAGAGACTAACCGAAGAAAGCTCTATCAAAGATACCAATAGTATATGTCCATAAGAAAGAACACATATGAGAGATATCAAATAGATATGCCCAAAGTTTGTAGCAGACATAAAAAGAGACCAGATGAAAGGATCCTTACAAAAAATATCACAACTATATGCCCGTAGTTGGTAGAAAACACAAGGAAGAGACCAGATGAAAGGACTCTTACAAAGATATCACAACTATATGTCTAGAGGAAAGGATATATACGAAAGAGACCTGATGAAAGGGCCCTATCAGAGATACTGAATATACATGTCCGGAGCTGGTAGCAAACATATATGAAAGAGACAGACCTAAAAACGCTCTAACAAGGATATCAACATGTCTGGAGTCGGTAGCAGACACATAAGAAAAGAAAGAGACCAGAAGAAAGAACTATTACAAATATATCATAACTATATGTCCAGAGGAAAGGACATATATGAAAGATACCGGATGAAAGGACTCTGTCGGAGATACCGAATATACATTTCTGGAGCTAGTAGTGGACATATACGAAAGAGACAGACCGAATAAAGCTCTAAAAGGGATATGAACATGTTTAGAGTTGGTAGCAGACACATAACAAGAAAGAGACCGGAGAAAAGGACTCTATCGTGGATGTCGAATAAACATGCCCGAAGTTGGTAGAGGGAATACGGAAGAGACCAGAAGAAAGGACTCTTACAAAGGATATCACAATTATATGTCCGGAGGAAAGGACATATATGAAAGAGGTATGAAGAAAGGACTCCATCGGGAATACCACAAATATATGTTCGGAGATGGTAGCAAACATAAGACAGAGACTAAATGAAGAAAGCCCTATCAAAGATATCAACAATACATGTCCGGAGGAAAGGACACATGTGAAGGATATCGAAGATATATGTCCAGAAGAAAGGACATATAACATGTAAGAGGCTGGAGGAAAGGGTCCTAACCAGAGATATCAAGAATACATGTCTGGAGTTAGTAGCATACATATAGCAATAAAGTGACCAGAAGAAAGGACTCTTTCAAGGATATCAAATGTGCATGTCCGAAGTTGGTAGCAGACATAAGAAAGATGTTGGGCATATGCCGGGTAAAATTAGGCATATACAAACAAGGAAGAGACCGACCGAAGAAGGCTCCAACAAGGAATGCTAATCGCAGATAGACTCCCGGAGAAAGAACACCGATCAAAGGCGGACTTACTGGGGATAAGATAAATATGTCTGGTCAGAGTTAGACACATATAGGAAAGAGACCGACTGAAGCAGAATCTAACAAAGGAAGCCTAAACAAAAGAGGACTTGCAATGACAAGGAGACTGACCAAAGATAGACTCTTGAGGAAAGAACGTTGACCATAAATGAACTTAACAGGGGATTCATGTTTGTATTGAACCCGAATAGAACGTCGGTTGAAGGCGAATTTGCAAATGGGAAAGAGAATAACTATAAGGACTCTAGGTAAGGGTTGTCAAAATACGTTGGGCTTAAGAGGTTGCAAACGCGGAAGAACTACAATATCCCTCGGGCCGAAGGCGGGATATAATTCTCCAAGAGTGGCAATTATCTGAATTACCACATACCAAGTATGGATACTCAAATACTTGAGAAATAAGAAAGGTTATACACTGAATCATACTTGCACTCTAAAGACAAAGAAAACATGGGTAAAATAATTGAGGACTTGCAAGGGCAAGGGAAAACCATGACTCATTAGGGACAAAGGGAAATACCAAAGATCTGACTGGTGGCAACCCATGTTACTTAAGGTAAACATAATTGGCTTATACCTCAATACATGCTTGAATTTGTTTTTGATATATGCAATGCAATGGTTCATGTCTAGTGATACATTGGGGAAACCACGACAATAATCGACTGTTGAGAAGACAAAGAACATCCAAACGATTATCCTTACTTATCTGATCTTCTGTAGAGAAAAGTCAATCTGAATTTCATGGAGAAATCACAAATCTGAAACATAAACTTCCAAGGATCGGTACCACTGGGGAAGTAAACTCTTAGGAAGAATGTCGTAAAAATAAATTGCAGTCCAGAGAAAATCTCGAACTTTGATCGAACTCTTACCTTCCTGGGGAACATATTCCTTGTCTCCTGTAAGGATAAGGAAAACTTCGATGGGAATGGAAATTTTTCCGGGTAGAGTTTCTTGATGAAGATAACTTTTACTAGGGATAATGAGAATTCTTGAATCAACAGAAAACCCATAGCATATCACACTGGGGATTTTTACCGCCGGGGGTAAAAAATATTTACTTGGGGAAGAAGAAAGAATCTTTGAAACAAAAACTTGATGTTCAAAACTCCACTTTGGATATCTCAGCAATCTTCTATCACTGGAGATAAAAAGAGTTCTGACCAACACTCCCATGTATACACCGCACTGGGGATATAGGATTTTATATAATATTCATCATCACCAAGCTTTACTGGGGAAGAAAAAACTTGCTCTGCTAGAGATAAGAGGGAAATTGATAAAGAAAATCCTCGAAACTCGACTCCACCTGGGGAGAAAGCTACATCTTCCATCGGGGAACAGAAAATCTCTTGATAGCAATTATCACTGGTACAAGCTACACTGGGGAAGCCATCTTTGTAAGATTCACATCAACACAAGACTTATACCGGGGAGAAGAAATTTCTCCATCGGGAATAACATCTGCTTCATAGGGGTACAAACCATAATCTCCCATAGGTAATCAGGAATCTCTTCAAGAAAAATTGACAGTAGAAAACTGCCATGGGGAGGAAAATGCACACTTCATGGGAAAAACGAGTGTCAACCTCACTAGGGAAGCATATGTCAACTTCACGGGATATATAAAAAATATCCAATCAGTAAATAAAATGATTCTTCCAAAATTGAAATGCCTAGACTGCATTGAGGAGAAATATTATATTCATGCGAGGGTACACCTTAACTAGGGATAATGGATTCTGTTTTGAGAAAAAAATCCCTTCCATTAATAATCTCATGCTGGTCACAATCAAACCTTTCTTTGTTCATTTATTGATACGCTTATTGTCATAAAAGACCAACAGTACCTGCAAAAAGGAAATTAGAGAAACATGCAACGGGTATGGAATGACAACCTTAGCCATCATCTCAGACACCCAAACCTTCAAGAAATTTCAGGTATTTATATCATGTGCTGTAAAGCTTCAATGTTTTTAAATGCAAAGTTTTATAAAAAATGTTGGACGTCTTTTCACAAACAAAACAGCAAAAATAAAAACAAAGAGGCACAATTTGGATAAAAAGAATTTTATTGATTGATTGGCCTGTAAATAGACATTTACATCAAGAAGTAATTCCTAAAAAGAGGTAATTGCGTACAAAGCATACAAAGGAGAGTACAGAGATGGCAATGTGAGTGCAGATTTATCGGGTACCGACTCTGCTATGACTCTTATGACTTCAAAGCTCCCTAGTATCTCGCTTTCTGAGAAAGTTGATTGGACTAATTCACTTATCCTGCCAAGCTAACCAACTACAATATAGAATGATAGCCCAGATGCAACACAGATCGTAGTCATTTGCTTTAATTCCCTAACTTTTTCCTGGATTGCCCTTTTTCAACTTTTCAATCCACCGACATACCCATTTTTGCCTAAGCTGCCTTTTCAGGTTTTCAACTTAGTGGGTGTACATCAATTCTTTTTCATTCTTTTAACTTCTTCTTTTTATCCCTAATTTTTGCCCAAACCTTTTATTCATTTTTTTGGTTCGCCAGGAAGCCTTTTTTTTCCTGAGCCGTCGACTCAACGAGTCTGTTTATGCGAATTATTTTTTAACTACGTTTGTGTTGACAGGGTGAGGGAAATCCTTTCCATCCATAGTTGTCAGCATCATAGATCCTCCTAAGAAGACTTTATTCACAACATATGGTCCTTCATAATAAGGATCCCATTTCCCCTAGCATCTATATTGTTGGGAGGCAAGATCCTTTTCAGCACGAGGTCACCAATTTGGAAATTTCGAGGATGCACTTTCTTATCAAAAGCTTCCTTCATCATCTTCTGGTATAATTGCCCTTGACAAATAGATGTCAATCTCTTATCATCGATGAGATTCAATTGATCAAATCTATTATGAACCCATTCGACTTCATCCAGTTGTACATATGTCATGGTCCTTAAAGAAATAATTTCTACTTCTACGGGCAGGACTGCTTCCATGCGTATACCAGAGAGAATTGGGTTGCCCCAGTAAAAGTACGCACCAAGGCGCGATAACCATGCAAAGTGAATGTCAAGATCTCATGCCAATCTTTATAGGTAACAACCATTTTTTTCACAATCTTCTTAATATTCTTATTTGCTGCCTCAACAACATAATTCATCTTTGGCGATATGAAGAAGAATTGTGATGCTTTATTTTGAAACTGTCACACAACTCTTTCATCATCTTATTGTTGAGATTTGATCCATTGTTATTAATAATCTTCTCAGGAATCCCATAATGACAAATAATATTCTTCTTGAGAAACGAGTGACCACTTGCTTGGTCACATTGTTATAAGATGTCGCTTAGACCCACTTGGTGAAGTAGTCAATAGGCACCAAAATAAAGCGATGTCCATTGGAAGCATTCGGTTTAATCCGTCCAATCATATCGATGCCCCACATTGCGAAAGTCCAAGGAGAAGTCAAAACATTTTCAGAGGATTGGGAGGCAAGTGCTTTTTTCGGCATAAATATGACATTTATGGAGTGATTGTAACAATTTTTTCCATTGTAGACCAATAATAACCTACTCTCAAGATTATCTTGGCCATCGTATGCCCACTGGAATGCATCCCAAAGGAACCTTCATGGATTTCTTCTATGATCTTGTTTTCTTCGTGTCTATCCACACATATGAGAAAAATAGAGTCATAGTTTCTCTTGTACAAAACACCTTCATTAAGGAAAAACTTTGTTGAGTACTTCTGCAAAGTCTTCTTATCTGTGATAGATGCACCCTTTGGGTATTCTTGTGTTTCAAGATACCTTTTGATATCATAAAACCAAAGTTTCTCATCAGCAGCCTCTTCTTCTATTTCATAACAGAGCACTGGCTCATCCAACCTTAAAATGGTGATAGAGGGGGCTTCATTTTCCCATATAAATTTAAACATGGATGGCAGAGTAGCAAAGGAATCCGCCAAGTTGTTCTCTTCTCTTGGAATATGATTGAAAGTAATCTCATCAAAATACAGGATCAATTTCATAACATACTCACGATACGGAATCAAATTCGAGGGACGAGTCTCCCAATCTTCGTTAATCTGACTAATTACAAGAGTAAAATCCCCATATACTTCTAAGATATTGATTCACAAATCAATAGCAGCTTCTAACCCAAATATGAAAGCTTTATACTCGGCCATATTATTAGTACAATCAAAGTAAATTCTGGCAGTTAAAGGAGTATAAAAACCTTCAGGAGAAGTAATTACATCACCGAATATTAGAACATAGTTTGGTTCTAC